CCTCCCCGGCCTCAGGTAAGCATTCAGCCACACGCAGCGAGCACCTGCAGATCCCCGTCTCTGACCCAGTCTCTCTGCTGAGCTCCACACCCACGTGCCCGGCTTCTCCGTGCCCCTCTCTCTCTCTCTCTCTCTCTCTCTCTCTCTCCAAGTCCTGCTGGACTTGAGCCCATGCTTCCTGAGCTGGAAGCTTCGCTCTCTGCTCACCAGCTCAGCGAATGACACCTCCTGAGCTGTAAGTCCGGTTGTGCTCCGTGGCCTCTGTCCACTTTTCCCCCGGTATCCAGTTGTGCCTAAATTCTGCCGCTCCTGTCTTTGAAGCCTCTTCTGTCTACCGCTGCTTTCCAGCCCCCAAAGCTTCTGCCCACGCTCAGGCCTTCTGCCCTCTGAGCCAGCTGCCACCAGCCATTGATGGGGCAAGTGCCGTGTGGCACCTGGTGGGGGCTGGTAGCTCACAGGAAGGGCAGAGGCACCTCTAAGAGTGAAAGGAGGCGGAGCAGTGAGGCGAGAGGGCCAAGAGACCCAGAGGGAGCCGTGAAAGGGTGGAGACTGCAGGGCCCAGGTCTGAGAGAGGGCCAGAAGCCGCAGAGGTGGGATGTCAGACCAGTTGGGCACCAGTCGCCCGGTGGGGTGTTAGGAGGGGCAGTGGGTGCAGAGCTTGGCCACGCTGGGTCAAGGTGGAATGTGAACGTGACACACGACAAATGTAGACCTCGATTCAGGATGGGGCCTGGGCGACGCCTCCAGGGAAGCGTGAGGATCCCAGGGAGAGTAAGAACGGTGGGTGGGGTGAAGCCTTGTGGGCAGAAGCGGGGTGGACTCGAGTCTGTACCCGGAGTGGGGGGGGAAGGAAGAGAAGCTCTGAGGAGCAGGTGAAGGTCTGGACGGCCTGCAAGGGAAGGTGAAGGCCCCACTGGGGCTGCGACGGCGACTGCTTGGCAGTGGGACCTTGAGAGAGGCTCACCGTCTGTCTGGAAAGCCCCCCAGTTTCAAATTTTCAACACTTTTCAAATTTTTGGCTTCGTTTTCAAGTTAGAAACAGTGGTCATCCTACAGGAGAGGCCAAGAAGGCAGTCGAGGAGTGGGGGCCTGGGAGGGCCCGAGTGTGCGGGGCAGAGGTGGGGGCCTGAGCGCTGTGGCAGCTGGGGCGCTGGGCTCCTCTGAGCTGCGCGTGGAACCCTGGGCCTCCCCGGAACTGGGCCCGGGACGTGGGGCGAGTCCAGCTCTCCAGTGGAGGGGAGCCGCCTTCCCCGGGAATATGGCGCTGCCGTCCCGGTGCCCGGGGGTCTGGGGAGACCGAAGTCCCCACAGGTCGGAAGCCACCCCAGTGCCTCAGAAAATGAGTCAGAACCTTCCAGATCTATACCAGAGAAGCCTGCAGCGGCAGGTGGAGAGATGGCAGAGGGACACAGGGCTGAGTGAGCCGAAGCCTCCAAACGCCTGTGGCCACTTTCTCACTCTGGACTACGAACTCCCTGCCCCGCCTCTGCCTCGTTATGACCTCAGAGTGTTCCAGCTTTATCCTCTCAGGGGCCCCAAGCAGCTCACCAGTGCTCTCTCTGGAACCCGGAGCAGAGGCTGTGGCTCCAACCCTCCCTCACCACCAGCCACCCCCAAGGTCCTGTGGGCACTAAGGCTGGCTGGATGATGAGGTTTGTGCTCTGCCGGGGGCCATGCTGGAGAACAACAGAGGATGGGAGAAGTGAGGCAGGGGCCGGTGGGAGCCGGCAGAGGTTAGGGGTCAGTGTGAGGAAGACGGGGTGGGAGTTGGATTGCTCCGGTGAGTGGGGTGCAGAGTGCACAGGAGCAGGGCGGAGGGCTGGGGTCAGCTCGAGGGCCACGTCGGGGTGGGGAGGGAGTGGGACTGGAGACTGGGGAGAAGGAACCTCGGCGGGAGGCGTACGGGGAGCCCCACCTTGGCCTGAGCCCAGCCCCCAGTAGCCATTGAGACCCCATCCTCTGGCCCCGGAATCCTAACTGTCCTGTACCTTCCCACCTCTCTCCTTTGCTCTTGGGAACAGCGTGGAGAAGACAAACGCAGTCACTCTTCCATTAGGTTAAGCGACAAAATTAAGCCTCTGCTGGTCCATGTGCCTATCGCTCAACCCATGACTGTGGCTGGGAGCAGGTACTCTAACCCCTCCAAGAATCAGAAGTGGGCGCTACTCTGAAGAGTCAAACAATAATTGTCTTCTAGAATCTAGACACTGGGTCTGCAATCTTTGTTACTGCATAACCCCAAATGTTTTGAAAAACTGGGCACCACTTTTCATTTTGAAGTTTATATGTTACATTTTCATCCTATATTTTGAAAAACTTGCAAAAGTTATGATTTCCAGAAAATTGTACATATTAACATTTAAAATAAGTGGTTACATCATTCTGTTAGATGATTCTCGTGGATCTAAATACTGTATCAATTTTATGCCCATCAAAATCCTGTAAAAACACCTGAATAACCTTTTCTTTAACAAGCAAACCTTTAATATCACTTACAGAGTTCCTATTGCCATTTCTTGAACTATATTTCCAAAGCCTTTTTTGGTTACTTTATCAGGCACAGTCTGACACTGAGTTAAGATAAGCAAGGCCTCAGGTTGGTGAAATAGGACCTCGAAACCTTCAGATAGAGGAGGTGAGACCACCTGAGATGAGAGAGAGGAGAGAGAGAGAGAGAGAGAGAGAGAGAGAGAGAGAGAGGGAGAGAGAGAGAGAGAGAGAGAGAGAGAGAGAGAGAGAGAGAGAGAGAGGGAGAGGGAGAGAGAGAGAGAGAGAGAGACACCTTGGACACTTATGTAAGGCAGAAGAGTCCTCCTGAAAGTCAAGTAGAAAAAACAAGTCCTGTGACACTCAGGTATTGGAAGTAAGAGATCCTAACAGATAAAGTATCTAAGAGCCCTGAAACGGACAGAGGGGAGATGAATCCTCCTTACACTCAGGGAGCGGAGAGGGAGACCTCCCGACATGCAGTAGCAGAGAGAAAAATCTCATGACACTCCAATAGTTGATATCTTTGAGACCTGATTGCATTTATATAAGGGAAATAAAACCTCCCGCTTGGCAGGAAGGGAAATAATGAATCTCAAACTCATCTTTGTAATAGGAGAGAACAAGACCTTCTGACCTGCAGGGAGAGTATATTTGGGGCCAGTCATGTGGAGAAAATAACTTCCTGACAACGAGGTGTGTGAGAGGATGTCTCTGGACATTGGAGAGGAAGTGGGATGCCCCGACAATTAGGCAGAATAGATGGAAAAGCCTGATACCCGGGGACAACGAAGCCTCATGACACTCAAATAAGGAAGATGAGACGTGCTTGTACTAAAGTAAGGGACAGGAGACCCCTCGGTCACTTAGAGAGAAGAGGCAGGACCTCCAGACACAGAGCAGAAGAGATGAGCCCTCCCGACACTCAGGGCCTGTAAGACCTCCTTGCGCTCACATGGGAGATAGAGATTTCATGACCCTCAGGTAGGGGAGATGAGACTTCCAGACACCCAGGAAGGGGAGAGAAAGACTTCAGACAGTCAGGGGGTTGGGGGGAGAGCTTTGGACACTTATGTACAGGAGGGGAGGCCTTGTGGTGCAGGTAGAGAAGATGTAAGCTCATGACTTTCCAGGCGGACGACGGTCTCCTCAGGCAGGGGCTGGGAGGCTTCCTGGCAGTCAGGTGGGGATGCGAGAATCCCTGACACTCCAGTGTGGCAGCTGAAGCCTCAGAGTACTCATATAGGTGAGATGCAACCTCTTGACACTCAGATAGAGGATGTGAGACCTCTCGGTTCTCAGGCAGAGAAGATGGGACAAAGTGACACTCAGGTGGTGGAGTTGAGGCCTTTGGCCCCGAGATGGAAGAAAAGAGACACCGTCACAGTCAGGGAGAGGAGATGGCAGCTCCCTGATACTCAGGTAAGATACATGCCGCCTGCTGGATGTTCAGTGGAGGGGGATGTGACCTCCTGAAGGTTACATGAAATGAGAAAGTAGGACATTTAGTCAGAGAAGATGCTCGGGTAAAGGAGTCGAGATCGTCTGACAATCTGAAAGCTCTTCATACCTGGAAAGAGGACATGAGGTGTCCTGACACTCGGGTGGGAGAGGTGGGACCTTGTGACACTCATATAGGTGGAGTGCAACTCCTTGACATTCAGATAGGCCAGTTGAGACCTTATACTCAGGTACAGGAGCTAAGACTGCTCCTCCAGTAGGTAGAGATGCGACCTCCCCACACTCTTACAGGGGAGGTAGAACTTTTTAACATCCAGGTAGGTGAGGTGAGCATTCTCCTACTCTGGGAGGTGAGATGCTGTCTCCTGACAATCAGAAGAAATATTACTTCATGACATTCAGGCAACTGTGCTGAGAATTCCTGACACTCAGGTACAGGAGACAAGACCCTGCCGCACATGGCCCCAGGAAGGAGACCTGGAGACACTCAGGTCGAAGATGCTGAGACCCTGTGGAGAGAAAGGGGGGCTTTGTGGTCTTAAGCTGGGTAAGTTCAAAATGGTCTTCAGAAATCGTGCTGAGAGCACACACTTGGAAGAGGGAAAGACGATCTCCCCCCGCCGCCCCCCGCAGTGTTAAGGGTCTGTCAACATGTGGAGCCTCCCTCGAACCGCTGACATTTTGCACCATCTTGTCGCAGAGTGGCTGAGCTGCCCCTCAGTCTGTGAGTTGGAATGGGACTGTGGCTACAGCCTGCATGAGGGTCAGACCCTGAACCTGCGCAAAGCTGGAACCTCAGATGGTGTGGGACCTTGGAAGGTAACTGGGACGGAGGGAGGGGGCTGCATGTGAACCCGCGTCACCCTGGGGCGGTGCAACCTGTGCAGGAAGGTGGGAAGTCACTTCAGCATGAACCGGTTGAGCTCAAGGGCTCCTCCTGCCTGGCCGGACTGCTTGGAGGGTGGGGGGTGGGAGGTCACTCTGCTGATTGGTCAGAAGGCCATGGAGCTTTGTGAGGTCACTGGGCTTCCAGGCCAGGCTGGGGCAGGAGTTTGGTAGAGATGCTGCCAACTGCCGTTCTGCTGGTCTTGGCAGTGTCTGTGGTCGCTAGAGATAACACCACGTGTGAGTAAGTGTCAGAGACACCAGGGGCGGGGAGGGTGTCTTCTGAGTAACAGACCCCACCCAGACACCCTCTGTCCAGGGCTCTGGAGGAAGCCAAGCTGGGGCCTCAGCGGTCCGCCGGGTCTCACAGCGCCTGTTACCCACGTCCCCAACCCAGACCATCCCTGCTCCCAGCATCCTCAGCCCAGAGGCCCCAGGGCCCCAGACGTCCACGGTTTCCTCCAGAGATTGACTCCTGGGGCCCTGCAGCACACAGGCCTGTGCTCCCTCCCCGCCCAGTGACGGACTTCACTGCCTCTTGAATGGGAGTCTTGATTTTCAGGAACTCCTGTCCTCCCGCAGATACTGGGACACCCCCCCCCCACACTGAGGGTGACCCCAAAGGCCCCAGGGTATCGGCAGGTGGTACCTCTGGGACCTCCACTCCACGTGTAGAATCCCAAGCCCGCAGGGTGCCCCGCAATGCCAATGACTGCCAAACTCCCCCCAGGGACACGGAGCCCTGGCCTCCCCTCCGGACGCTCCCGCCCCAGTGCGCCCCCCCCCCCCCGGGGCCCTT